CGTGTTCTCTTCATTACTGATCGGCGCTTTGAGCATTGGAATAGCTAGAGTTAGATTTATATTGTCGCCAACAATTGATAAACCTCCTATTTTAGCATCCTCTTCTATAAGAAGCAAAAAAAAAACATTTTAGCATCCTCTTCTATAAGAAGCAAAAAAAAACTGACGAGTAAAGATTAAAAATCTATGTAATAATAGAGATGAAAATACTTACCCAAAATCTAATCTACCTTGGATCAGGTAGCTTTACCTACATTTAACAATGAAATGTTATAAGCTGGTCCCTTCTCGTCGACTGGCTGATTGTCCCCACCAATTCCATATGCAACAGCTGATAGGGGAGAACTCACAGTCTTAGGCAAACCTAAAGCCCCAACAAGAATTTTTTTTTAACAAGCTGATAGTTGAACCGCCCAACTTCTTCCTAATGTGGGGTTGGCCCTTATCTAAAACCTCCATATCCAATCCTTCTTCTGCTTCTATTTGACTAGATCATATGGCTTCACCTTCCCATCCACCTTTTCTCCCACATCTTTTTCCTTAATCCGCCTTTTGATCGACACTTTACTCCGAGGGAAGCCAACATCTTCACCCATTTAGTATATTTTAGCACCAAACTAGATCATTTCTCCGTAAAGACAACACAAAAGCCGAGTGGATGCAGGGAGGGACAAACTCAAGATATTGAGAACCATTCACTACGCTTTATATATAAGGGTCAACACCATAAAAATCTAGTGAGTCTAATCATTTCATTAAATTGTGACTATTAAGATTTGATTTATTACATAAAACTTTTCATGTCCTTATCACAACTGTTATTATCAATGATCAAGAAAATTGGAAAACTTAATACGTACACCCATGTCAACATGAATCTCATGGAAATCTAACATTCCATATTAAAAAAAATAAAATGAGGATCATCTATTTGACAAAAAATTGTGAGTACTCATAAAGTTGATTGGCTAGAGACCATCAACTGACTAACAACCAATCGACTGAAGGGTTGACGACCAATTAAAGAATAGTCAAACAACGAAAGGGTCATCCAGGCCAACAAGAGACATGAATCCATGCCAATAGCTGGAAAATGGTCTAGTATCCCCAACAATCTCACAAGTATTAACATAAGGCTTTCTCAACAACTCCCAAAAAAATCTCCAATGATCTCTAAAAATAACCAAGGAATTAGCAGGTCGACTGATCACCTTAAGACCAATCAGCTACCTCTCTAAAAGTCGACTGATTTTTTAGGGTGCAGGTCGACTGACATTTAGGCAAAATAATCCACCTACTCAAGGACCTGCAAACAAAAGGTCCAGTACATTAAAAGATGTCGAAATTAGTTACAAATACGGAAAGACATGACAATAAACAATAATGCCATATAAGGCCTCTCTTAAAGCTGGGACAAACATATAATTTTTCATATTTGGCCCTCTATCTTCTTTAAATAGAGGCTTCATGGCATGTATTGAGGGCTTTTGACCTCTCTTGTCTCTCTCTTGTAGGGAGATCTCTCTCCCCTTCACTCTTGCAACCCCCTCAATTACAATATATAAAATGAGTCAAAGATGAGAAATACATCCATATGAGGCAAGTTCAAGTGTGCACTTTTATTTCTTTTTCCCTTTTTGTCTCTCTCTATCCACTTCTCCCTCAAGTTTTCTACCATTCCAATAATTGGACGTGCCTCACAAGACAAATCTAGATTAAACAAATATATTTCATTCATTTCATAAATATTTTTAAGATTTTACAATAAAAGACATGAGAAGAAGGACAAGTGTACAAAAGAACTACGGTTCCTTAGTTTGTTAAAGATTGAAGCTTGAACATTCCTCTCCAAGTACTTTGCTCTTTCTTGCCTTCTCCTCTCCTCGCTAGACTAGGTAACACTCACTCCTTCACTCTCTTTCACCCACCTTCAAAAAACTCTCACACACTCCACTCCCTTTACTAATGTTCTCCCTCCATTTAAGTTTTGTTAGTTTCTCCAACTACAATTTCCCACTTCAAATTGAATTTCAAAATGAACTATTTTGGTTGAGCCATAGCATTGAGATGCTCCTAAAGTAGTGCGATGTGGGGTTGTGGCACCATGCTATGTGACACTTGGGTACAAGCACCAAGGCATCTTAATTCTCTATCTTTTGGCTCTCTAGTGTTGATGACATTGTGACGTCCTACAGAATAGCTCTGCAATACTTTATGCTGCCATGTGTTGCCCAAAGTCTGACGTTGAGACACCTTAATATCAAAGAAGTTGTGAATATTTCTAGCATAACGCCTACTTTGGACGTTAGTGCCTTGAATTTCCTCACATTTCATGAAACATTTCTAATGATTATTCTACACAAAAATGCAAAAAATATACATTTTATGTTAAAAAAAAAATAGAAAACATATTATTTATATATATATATATA